CTTTGGCGAAGGAGCGAACTTCGCCTCGGTTTCTGTTGCTGCGCCTGTGATTCCTTTATAACTTTTTGGAGGATCATTGTGAAACGAGAAATTTTTTTATATTGGGACCTTACAATCGCAATAGATACACCATCCTCCGTAACACTGTTTTCCGGTACAGGTACTCCCTCCTTTTTTGAGGATCTTTCGATGAGTCAGTTTCTGGTCTCATAAGCCCTAAACCAACCGTAGAAAGTGCATTTATAGGATGGAAATACAAGTTGAACTATAACTGCATAACAATAGTTTGTCAGGAAAATAGACGTCATGAAAATAATCCCCGACCACCATCTATATTTTTTGCATGGTATTTTACAAGTATTTTTGTAAATATGAAGTATAATGGGATGTATAATAGTAGAATCTACGCAACTACAACTCTTGGTCAACAAATGTACTAATACCATACGATTTACTTGCTCTTATAGCAACTAATAGCAACTATAGTAAAAAGGATTAAGATTTTGTTGGTTCTCTTATGATATTTTGAAATTTTCTTGATATTTTCTAATTGACTGCAGAAAAAAGTGCAGAAAAAAAAGCAGCTGGGTGGACTTGTGCCAGCCTAGAGTACCCCTCCAGGGAAAGGAACCGTGATTGGTGGGAAGTTGTTGACCAATCATGGCTCTAGTTAGAATCAGACAAATGCTCGTAACTAAACTCAACTATCTGGTGCTATGGTGCACCATGAGTGCAGTGAATAAATAAGTAAATAAACCACTCCAGTACGTCTTGTATTACCCTACAACTTACTCTAAATGGATATCTTAAGCTACTCTGACTGGATATCGAAAAAAAACTTGTGAATTTGGTTACTAGTTGTACGAACACAAGCTTGTCGAGCGAATCATAGCTCAGTGANTACGTCTTGTATTACCCTACAACTTACTCTAAATGGATATCTTAAGCTACTCTGACTGGATATCGAAAAAAAAAACTTGTGAATTTGGTTACTAGTTGTACGAACACAAGCTTGTAGAGCGAATCATAGCTCAGTGAGATAAAAGAAAGCTGTCAGTGGTGAGAATGGTCACGTATGTAGTCAACTATTAGGTTGTAACATAAGTTCGTAGAGTTTTTCACAAAGATTTCTCTGAACAAAAAGCAATAATTGCAATAATAAATTATTGAATGAGTTATTATAATAGTCAGCCAATACACGAATTGGTTGGCGACCATCTTCCTTCAATAGTGCCTTCAGACGCTCTTGGTCGAATTCTGCAGGTCGTCCGCTTCGAGGCGTGTATTCAAGTTCAAAGTCGCCTATTTCAAGCTTTGCGAACCATTTTTGTGCAGTAGACACACCTATGTAAGACACCTTCCCTGTACACACTGCATATCTCCCGAGCTGTTTCGGCAAGAAAAGCAGATGTCGAAAATGCTGATTTTTTCCTCCTAGATATACCATTTCTGAGCCAGACAATTGAGACATGAGACAACAATTAAACTCCCCAAAAAAACGGATAAAACAGTTTTGTAGAGGAGAAAAAGCTCTTTCGAACGAATGTATACACTTTGCTGAAAAACAAATCAAGTCGTTGCAAAATAACTCCAACGCAAAACTCTACGAACTTATGTTACAACCCAATAAATTTAGATCTCTTATAAATGACAAATCCATTTTTTTATTCAGTTTCTTTTGAAGCTGAAGCGAAAGTGCTTAAATGAGGACCTAAAAAAATAATTTTTGTTATTATGCTTCATTTATTTGGGTATTGAAGGGGGAATTTACGAGTGATAAGACTACAGAATCTATAGGATTGTTTCGTAATGAAAATCTTTTCATTTCACCTCGAAAGTAGATTAGCTCGGGGACTGTGTGGGCACTGACGGACGAGATTTAGCTCATAATTTGAAAATGTAATACCCTAGTTAGTCTAAAAAGGCACGATGCTATTAATGGAAAACTCTTAGTGCATAATGCATAAAATCCCCTTTTTTTAATTTATCCCTAAGCTTCCTGATGTTCCTGATGTAATGGCTAGAGTTTTACTAGGAAACAACTTTGTGCTGGATAAGCCACTTGTTCTGATCGGAAATAAAGAAGCCGCAGGATGTGATGGTATGATCCTACGATGGGAAAAAAGGAAAGAACAAACGTTGTGAGCAATATAAGGGCATTCATCATTACTCGTGGCGGATACTAGTCAACAATACTTACTTCTATTGAGAAAGTATGAGATTCGCGTGAAAAATGTTTTTTGCTAGTTGCAATGATGTGTTCGTGTATGTGTGTGGGCAGAAAGCTGAAATGATTCCTCAATCATTCCTCAATCAAATGGCAGCTTGACAGTGGCACCTTTCATGTATTGTCTTGTCAATTCCTAGAACCAAATAACTTATTTCTAAGACACAGAACTAGACAATTACTGTATAGTTACCATTTTCCTCATAGGTTAGGTTCTGCTCTCCTGCTAATTGTCAGACCTTTGCAAGAACATAGCAATTTTAAAAAAATCATAAGAGTTTACGAAAAGTTCCCATGGAAACTTCCAGAACATTCTAAAAAAATCTCAGCTGATGCAAATTCTTGGCAGGTAATTTTCGAGCTTTTAAAAACTTTAATTATTGGGTGATATCATTGTAAATTTCATTTTAGAAATTTAGAACCATTGGCGAACCTAACTATTCCATTCGGGTATGCAGTTTACGATTAACCCGTCCAACCTCAATTGCGGGGATTCGACCAGCTCAAGTATTCGATCTTCTATTTCCATAAATCGGTAGTAAATTCACTCAGAAGAGCATGAACTGGTATAGAGGCCCAGAGTCTCCTATTTACTTGTTTATTTATTTAATTCATGTCAGGCATGTGAGGTAGCCCAACAGCAGCGGAAACAAAACAGGGCAAGCCCACACTAAAACACGAATGATGGATAGAGTAAGGAGATTAGAATCTGCTAAACCTTTACTAACTAGTACTTTAGTAATATGTGGTTAAAGGGCATTTGTAGATTCAAGGAACAAATCATTCCCGATAAGCGAGCGTACACTGTTCCAAGGTGATTCACAAAGAATCTGCACTTGAGATCAGCCCAGCTGCACTTAAAACTATTTTCAGCCCGGTTTCCTCCAGTAATGGCTGGTATTATTCAAAATAAATCGTTACATCGAATATTTTAAGTTAGTCGCCAAGTATTCTGCTGACCTTTACCACATCCTCCAATCTTTTATGAGAGCGATTCAAAACCCAGAAGACGGTTCCGAGATGCAGAATCCGGTACGTCTGAGTATGGTAATATGTGATAGCAAAGAGTAAATTTGCGTGTAGAGGATCAAAGCTTATCATATATTCAACTCAGTCGGAATATGCATTTTAATGCTCCCAAGAGGAGTTTACTTTGTACGGCACGGGACAGAAGGGGCCTCGCCCTACGCCCTCAATCCTCCTACGCCTCAAGTCTACCAACGACGATTACTAGTATGCAATTGCAGTGGGGGCTATTCTTCGAAATGGCAGCAACATTGCAAGGAGCCAAAAAGCTCCCCAATCATTTAGTACGTGATTCATTCTATTTCTAGGTATATGTGAATGTATTTGGCCACGTCATGGTCTACTAAGAAAATAATTATGCCCTTGTGAATTCTTTTGTACTTACTTTTTATTCTCACGATTTTCAGAACTTTTTATTATCAAGATTTTTAGACATGCACTGGATTGCGGAGGCGAGAATATACCCAATTTGTATTGATTATATCAAATACCCTTGCCAGACCCTGATCTGCTCTATGCCGCTAGGGCTACTTTATAGTAGTTCAAAGTAGGCTTTTGAATACGAGTAAGAGTAAAGTAATCTGTACTCAATTGTCAAATCCTTTACGATGTCATGGCGCACCAAGTATATGAGTAAATCCCAATCTCTAAGTCCCAATAGCTCTTACTTTGTTTTTTTTTTTTTTACTAAAGTATCTCATACTCGCTTTGCTCGTGACAGAGACAAATAAAGATTCCACTGACGCCTACTCAAGGAAGCCGATTATCAACAGAACATAGCTGAAACAGGATTAAAATAGCTCTAACTAGATTTTGAAGCAGCATATCGTCATCTCAACCAAGACAAAGAAGGTTCAACTACAAAGATGTTGTAGGCGTTTTCCTAGGATTTTCAAAACTTATAGAAAGTTTACAGAACGATCATGAGAGCCCGTCATCCAGCTCAAAATCACGTCAGAATATGTTATCATAAGAACTGGATTGGAAGAAAAATCTTATAATCGTTGTTCAGATGTCGTTGTTGGATGTAAAATGATGTGGTACTGATGTTATCAAATCTTTAGCTAATCCCACCCACATTTCCTGATTGAATGAAGGGAGCTACATGTCAATAGGGCAATATGGACTACACATTACATAAGGATGTAAAAACATGTCCATGAGTATGATTTGGAATTTGCACAGCTAATCGAGTAGCTCAGATACGTTTACTGCAGACTATCCTGCAAAATTATCATTTTAACGCTACTTGTTGGTAATGTCCTTCGAAAGTGGAGAAACAGAAGATGCTTCCTTCTCCCACAGGGTGGTAAGTTCCTCTCCACACTGTTTGGGCTCGCTGCCTGTTTTTTTTTGAAAGTCGTTTTCTAACAATAAATATATCGACATGGTGATTATCCACACCAGTGGAAGAACGGTGATGCCACCAAGTTCATGGCGCAATCCATCATAAAGTTGATTAATCAATACCATTTGTGGTGCAAAAGCGTAAAGGCATAGCATTATCATCTTCATGTAGAACAGTTTAAATGAGGTCAGGAAGTACTTATCTATATACAACGAAACAAAATAACTTGTTGACGAAAGTACTAAAATGAATAAGCAGTAGATGATCTATTAAGTTACACTAATAAACTTGACTAGTAAGTAAATATTATGGTGTATGGTCTTGAGAACATAAAACTAGTTAATGGCCGAGTAGTTCTTTGGAGTATTTGCTTAATTGGTTAAAAAAAACAAGGTCCAATTAAAATCTGGCAGGAAAGTAGAAGGAATTCTGTGTGGGAGCCCCAACGGATCTCGTGGCTCGGTCCGCGGCAGCGTCCTCTTCGTCTTCACCATCTTTCCGCACACGCCGCCATTTTGCACGACGATTTTGGAACCACGTTTTCACCTAGAAATCGACCATTTAATAATTCTGAAAATCCATCTAAAGTAATTTCATCAGATAACATTTTCCAATTTTTTTTGTCTATTAAATTTGTTTATTAAAAGATTTTGCAAAGGGAATATGACGTTAGAGGCTCTGTACGCACATGTCCTGAAAACATGGCTCCACTGAGCCTCCTGCTGTTTTTGTTTTTGTTTGCAGTAAGTCACAGTCGAACTGCAGTTACTGCAAGTTACCTCAATTGAAACTGTACTGGCCGACGTTAGACCCCCCCCCCCCCCCGGAGAGTCTGAGCTGCCTCCATCAGTTCATCAGTACCTACTGGGTCGTCGACTCTTGGGAGGATTAAGGTACTGGATGACCTCTACTACTGACAGAACAGTCGTGTTTGAATGTGATCCCACTACTTCGAATGAGGATATCCTCATTCGATCCTTTGATCCTACGCTTCAGCTACTCAAATACTTATTAGAAGAAGTTATTGCCCTTCTGGAAGTGTTGGAACAGTTGGGCAGAATTTTTATTGCTCCTTTTTGCTTCGAAGTGTTGTTTGACAGTATTAATTACCAAATTTCACTTCAACCAAACAGTTTTGTTACTTTTTTGCACAAGAACTAGTTACTGAAGTGATGTTGGAAACGAGAGGGGGCTTTGAAGTTTTTGTTCTACTTCTGTCATGATTTCGTTGAGCCCCGTTTGTGCGGATTATATTCTGGCTACCGTAATCACTGAGGGTTCTTATTACATCCATTACTGATGATAATGTTGAGAGTCATTAAAATCTATTACTCTGATTTTACTTGTAACAAAATAACAATTGCTATACCATATAACCATATAGACGAAATGCTAACAAGGGGTAACTATGTGTCACAAATGGAATATTCTTGAACACTTTGTTATTCGAGAAACTGATGAAGCATAAACGAGCGGCCATAACATTTACTGCAATGAACTTTCAATCAACTTGACAAGTTTCACTTTCTCAGTACAGTATACTAGGAAGAGCTGCAGATCTTTCGATGGTCCTGAGTTGAAGCATAACCGGTTTCGAGGAATGTGAACAACGCCGGAACCCAGAACATTTCGCTTCTGCGGAAAAACGAACCTATTGCCCGGCTCGTAGTTGCAGTTAAAGTTATTTATATGGAATTTGCAAACTTCCAACCCTTCTCGGAAGTACAGAATAGATTATTAGCAACTTGAAGGTGCAGGGAAGGTTCATTTGAAAATGTCGGACAATGAAAAACAATCCTTTCTTCTGGTAAAAGATGTACTAGTTCAAAGAGAAATCTCATTAAATTACAAATTACTTCAGTACAGTTTTGAAAAGCTTCTAAAAAAANAAAAAAACAGTTGATATTTCGGGTTCAGCGGAAGCTATGCAGATTTAAGGACCAGAAATCGATAAGGGTTCAATAATGAGTAGGAGAAAAGCCTTCTTGAATCACTGGTAATTAGAATGTACGTCGACAGTTGTGAGAGGTAAAGCTTCGAGTAAACAGATACTCACCAACTTGTTCTTCTCAGTTAACAAGTCAGTAAATAGTACTTAAAAAATTGAAATCGCTTTTCAACTCCAACACGTCACCATTGTATGACAAAACCGGAACTATCGATTAACACGAAAAACCGAGTTTTCCAATGAAAAACTTCTGAGTTGATCCGCTTTTGATTTCTGAAACAATTACTACTCTCAGCTACTCACTCCCCGTCTACTTGTAAGGTGGGTCTATCTAATGGTTGACCCTTTTCGACCTTCTAATCGCTATGATATTTACATAAGTGCATGAGTAGGCGAGAGCAAGGAATCCTTAAAGAACTTGAGCTTTGTCTTGACGAAATCTGATCCGACATGAGTATTCGAGAGTTTACCAGTTATTGCGTCAGGTGGAAATCCGCTAAGCCAATAGATCCACTCAAAACCGGATAGATTACACAAAGAGCACTCTTCCTATAAACGCAGTTGTGTTCACTACTTGTACTACTTAGTTAATTACTGTCAGTTACCTGCATGAGTTTGACCATTTTTGAAAAATTTAATTTTCAAGCATCACAAGCAGTAGTTCAAATAGAAGAAATGTAAAAAATGTAACTTCAGTTGCGTTCAGAGTCACAGGGCAGTTGCTTGTTAAATATGGCTTAACGCTTGAACATTACTGGTAATTGACCTTGATGTCATCCACTTGAGCATCTTAACTGGCTCAACACGATTCTCAACAACGCGGCAGCTCATCAATCAGCCTCTGTTTACTTACTTAAGTCGATTGGCGCAGCATCACTTAAGTACCAACGGAAGCATATGGTATCGATGAAAAGATACCCCCATCTAAATAATCGATTAGTTTACTGGTAACGTTCTATACTAGAGAGTCACGATGGTCTAGAACTACTGAAACTTGGAGAACTAACGAAACTTCCAATTTAGGGAGGATTTCTCTCTGTTTACTAACTCTTTACCAAGTTGACCCGGTAAGCAATCCTATAAACAATTTCAATTATAAGCTTATCGAAATGGTACTCATCGAACAACTGCCGAATGCTGAACATTATTTCACGGTGTATTGATCGGTATCGATCGAATCGGTCAGAATCGAAACAATCAAAAGCCCAATATTTTTCCTGAGACCTGAATAACTGCAACAAAGGCTTNCCATAGCTACTGAATAACGTTGTCAATGCGCTTATCCGTTCCTATCAAGAACGTGTCTGAGTCAATCAATAATCGTGCGCTGCACGAGAAGTAGGATAGAAGAACTAGAAGTCTGTTTAGAGCCGGTCCTAACTTCAACTATGGGCTTGGAGAGAGCGCTACGGACCACTAGATAATTTCCACAGTATTACTGATGAGTCACCATATGTAGAGGGCCTTGCTCACCATGGAAATGCCGTTCTTTTAATTGCTTCTGCAGAAATGTTCGAGATAATTTTGTTAAAAAAAAGTGTGACAGAAAGAGTGTTGGTACAGTAATCAGATTACCACAATAATTGGGTAAACTAGTTGGCCCATTCAACATAATGTTAATGAGAAGTTCACTTCTGTGAATATTCTCGAGCAAATGTATGTAACGAACCTGGCGTTCACTGAGGCTCAGGGACCTGGCCAATTTCTTTCGCTCCTGTGGACTGAGATATTTATGATTGTCGAATTTGTTTTCAAGTGCATCGGTTTGTTCATTAGTAAATCTGAAAATAGGCAGTGGAAGGGACAATAGTTCGGGTAAAAAAACGAGGACATTGAGAGACTGATTTCCTACCGTATTTGTCCTCCTTTACGTTTTTGTTGAGTCTTTTGCATGTAAGGATAGAGCCATGAGATGCAGGGATCCCATACACCATGAAGATTTCTATGTACTAAAACGGGAAATCTTATCAATTTATCAGCACCTCTAGTAGACTTACTTCGTAGACTGCAGCATTTTCCCTGTCTAGCTACAACAACAGTTTTGTTAAATAGTCGCTTTATAAAGCATTTAATCACTTTAAAACTACTTTGTATTGTCGGTTATCGATTATCGATCCGGAACAGTGTAGTTGCGAGAAAAGCTTACGCCCTAGCCCAAGACCCCTTCTTCAACGTGCTTTTAAACAGCCTTAACAAAATTACTAGTTCGAATTAATTCAATTGAAGGAAAGGATAAATCATGATTTTTCAGTGACCAGTGACTTATGGGGTCACCACTGAATGTGGAGTAGTTGAGAAAGTAACCCAACATAATTAGTAGTTATTGATCGATGAATCACATGGTTCATACCAGCCTCAGAGTTTAAATCACTTTCATTTTGCACGTTGGAGGAAAGTTCTCAGACGGGACTTACTAGTCAGATAGGCACTAAATCGGTCGAGAAAACATCACGGGCGTGGGATGTGGGATAACTCCTTACTTTTTGAGCTGTGCTAAAGCGGCTTGTTGTCTTTCTTAATTGAAGCCTGGGGTAGAGCTTCTTTGAAGCAACTATCGCATTATGCACAAAGCTGGACAAAAGAGTTAAGCAGTGCGTAGTTGAGAGCTTCTTTTTGTGAGTGTCGAACTTATGGACATTGATGTGTGGGTGCCTTCAAAATAGTATGGCATGTCCATTAGCATCCTCGTTTACTACTTCACATACTCACCACGATGATCAACAGTTCCAGAAACGACTAGGAAATCCCGTAGTATAGCTGATGTCCAAGCATTCATTCAATGGCGCATGCCCAGCCTTCTCTAATTTCCTCTCACTATCTCTTACTCCTCATTCAGTCATGGAAGGTAAAGATATAAGCTGGTGAAGGGTACGCAACCGAATAGGGCAGTTGGGGAGCTCCCAGTGGCCGATGGAACCGGCCTGCCAAGTTGTTCATGACTTTTCCCATCTCGAGGCTAATCAAGTAAAGGGAAGTAGTGATTCGAACTAGGGCTATGAAGTTGCTGGTCATACGGTTGTATACGATTACTGGTGAATTACTACTGGGCCAAGTATGTTTAACAGTAATCTAACAAGTGGCCGATATGCGGTAAATTTGGGGGGGTACGATGTCGGGTGGTAAGTGTCGAGTGGGGATGAAACGAAGTACGGTGGTTGTCAATGAGGCCGCCAAGGGTGATGGTGGCGATGGGGACCAACACAGCTTAGCGGCTCCCTTTCTGATGATTGTTTGAGAAACTGGAGTGTGCGTGTATTGACATCGAGAAATACCGCAAGACACAGGGGACTCTGATCACATTACAAAACCGACACTCGACAACTTCTTTCCATGAAAAACGCCCGATTTAGCGCTAATTCACCTCGGACAATGTCATTGAATACGGAAGAGGACTGGCTCTTTTCATATGAAAATAAGTTAAAGCAGTCAGTCATTCATGGGCATTACCCTCAACATAAAACTCAGCTCAAACTGACTATATTGCATCAACAACTGAGTACTGAAAATGATGAAAACTAGAAATGTGAGAGCACTGATGATCTACAAGTAACTCAGCCTTACTACTTCTCGAGAAATCGAATCGATGCCGAGACGACTGATTAGCAAACCGGAATGATTTTACTCTGACGGCAATACCAGTAGGTATATTAGAAAGGGTTGTTGAGTTGCTCAATCTCAGGGGACAGGGCTCCAGTGGTGACTCAGATGTTTCAACTGCACGGCCCTTTTCGATCTTGGATATTTGGCTAACTGGTTGTCGTAGGGTATGATGGCATGCGAGAAGACTCGATTTACTGAATTCACTACTAAATAGGTAAAGAGGCAAAATAAAATTGGGAATGTCAACAACAACAATAAGAAGGTCCTTAAGTTGCCGGAGTTCCGAAAGGACGAGCAAGAAACCCCGGGATGCCTTAATAGATGCTTAGAGTTGTCATAACTGTCACTTTGAACGTCCGATTAACTTATAAGCCCGTTTTAAGAGTTAGATATCACTGCGCGATCAAAAAGGGCACTAGGAATGGTAAATATCGTCATCACCTAAGATATGGATAAGTTGTAGCACCAGTAACTACTTACCTAACTGTAAATTGCTAACAGTAAAAATAACCAGTTGTTTTTGAGAAGCTTATTATGCTTGAAAATTCCCGTTCTCGTTATGCCCCTGGCTCGAGAATTTTAGCGATTCGCAGTTGTGGTATACTGTAAAAATTACTTCTTAACCTATTGATGACTACTGAACCAGAGCGATCAATAGTGAGGATACTAGTTGAACGTACATTGTCGACGAGATCCCTACAGTATGGAAGCCGGTCCTCAACAAGAAAAGCTATTCGGAACTGTCAATAACAGCTGGCTTTCCCTTCTCCCACGACTACCAGGACTTACTTTCTTCTCGAGGGAAAGTTATTCCCACAGACCATTCCTGGCAGTAAAAGATTGTCAATAAAGCTAATCGTTTGTACATCCCCAACTAACTAGTGTAATACTCATAGTGGTCATGTTAGCATTAGACGATACGACTAATGAGATTAACCAGATTATTCATTTGTTTGTCTATACCCTGGATCGACAACGGGAAAGAGCCGTTTGGCTCCTCTTACTCCTGACGATGCTCAAGAGTTTGTTTAGAAGTAAATCAATATAAATCGATAGCGCAATTCAGACTTGGATCTCAGATTTTAAACGAACAGACACGAAAGTACAGCGTATACCGACGAGTATCATCGCCGGGCATAGCGTTAGCCAAAACTTGGGAAGAACTTGTAAAACTAGTTTGAGCAAGTAGACAATATCCACCAATATGAGTAGGATGATGTTCCGACTCAATCTACTCTTTAAAAAATATTTTTATTGAGGCTTATTTATTGTTGAAACTGTTAAACACTTATTAGTGCAAATGAGACTCTGCTTCCACGCTTTCAACCTATGCTACAGTATTCGAATTAATGAATGTATTGAGGTTACCGGATCAAGTAGTAAAAATCAATATTAGTCTATATTAAAGTCAGTTTTCACCGAAATTACTAATATTCAAAGCTCTGAGCTTTGAAACAGGAAAACACTGAAAGTCGCCCGATTCCATAGGCCGTTTGTCTGATAGCTAATTTTTCATCAGAAAAAAAACTTATTCATTGTTTTAACATTTACATTTGAATGTGGTAGTAAATAAATGATGGGTGACCACCAACCTCCAGGTAATGGAATTTGTGATGGCACTGTAGGAGAACCGTGTGAGGCATGAACCATCTGGGCGGCAATTTGTTGTGTGAGGTTGATGTAGTTTACTGCATTGTACCACTGTGGATTTCCTGCTGTACCTAAACATTTTCGTTCACTGAATTAGTAGTAGGTTCTGACAGGACAATCATCACCCTCATGGGATGAATATAAGGAGCAAAAGTCATCCTTGAGCAGCATTTCCCTGTCCTCGCTAAAGGGAGCCTAGTATTGCATAGATAAGAATCTTGTTCAAGGACAAGATGACAGAAAGAAAAGAGGCTTGATTTATCCCCAAATTGGTCCCTTTACCTCAAAACCTGACCGAGTAAGCTTAGTCGACCGATTATAGTGAAATAGTAAGGAAATGGCTGTTGGTAACCCTACCAACCAGTACTCAGCTAGGATCACCCAAGTCGTGCTAACCTGATCAAACTCATTCATGAAGATACTTTACGATGAAATAATCTGGTATTTTTTAGCGACAATCAAAACTTCTTTGAATTGTGAATGTGAATGAATGAATGAAATGTGAAGCCTTCAGAATCCCCATGAAATGACATCACGTGATTCCCTCCTCCCCACAGGTTTCATAGATATTATACAAGATAATCATGTTAGTTTCAAAAGTATTGCTTGAATAAAACTGTGAAAATCTGATCCTTAACAAGAGGCGCCCCCTAATATGCAATACCTCCATGGGTAAGGAAAGCCTGACTGAGGTTCTCAACCGAAATTGTGCTACGATGGTGCTCACATCAGCTAATAACATCACAGCTTTATTTGGGAACGAGCACGACCCTGGAGGGCTGCAAACGCTTATTCCACCCTAGCTAGGCATGACTGATGGAAGCTCTCAAACTCGAGAGTTACCGTTTGCTGAGGAAGAGACTGGTGACGTTTCTGTATTGGAGCATGTGGCGGTTTCTGAGGAGCAACCACTGCGCGACCGTTCCGGCGATTCGTGGCCACCTTTTGGGTCCTGAAAACGGAAGAGGTAAAAACTCAACAGTGTACGGTCGACACGTACCCTAAAAAAACAGTAAAAAAGCTGTCTAAATCGCTCGCGAACCTGTTTCAAGGTCTCTATACTTGGAGACTGTAGCAGCATATCAATTGAGAATTTCTGCTCCATTGTGTAGGAAACAGATGATGAATAAACGACTTATTGAGAGTGATCTGAGTAGGATAGTGAGCCGATGGACGAGATGCGTTGACACTCTCCGTTTCGGTAGCACTCAGAAGAGGATGAGCACGAGGGGGCGGTCCAGCTACGGTACCTCGCACTCCCATTCGCGCGCGCGTCATGAGAAATGCATGCGCTACGGTGTGTTTGTTCCTCTTCGCACCGACATACTGAAAAGAAAATCTCAGGTTCGATGAGAATTCAATGATGGCAAGACAGAGAAACTTTTTCAAGGGGGGTTACTGGTTTCAGGGATTGGTTTTGACAGATGTGACGTTGAACTTTAAGGGGCTTAACGATTGAAAAGCAGAATCAAGTAATCCTTTCGTTCATTCAAAAAGCTTCAAGCTTGTTCCTGAGATTTTTCCCTGAATTTCCTACTCATTATTTCCTTCATCACATGCTATTGACGAATTGTAGAAGCATGGAAGACTGTCCCTGCCCAATTTGTCCCTTTCATATCAGTCTATAAGCTCTGTAGGAAGTATCAGCAATTTTTTTCCTGTTACGATCCGTTTCGATTGAGATGGAACGAAAACGCGAACAACCAGTTTTTCAGTCGTTAGCAATGGTTAATCGCTCGCTCGCCAAGCGATATTCTCTTAGTGTATTTGCGCAGTCATGTTATCGCCGATCGCTCTCCCTATCAATAATCTCAAGGGGGATTACGGTAGCATTCGATGGTTCTTCATTCAATCAAACACACAAATAGATGTGATGGGTAGGTGGAACGCAAGCATTCCACTTGATAATCGCCTATCCGATTGAGATTGATGTCTCGAGTCGTTTTCGATCATCGAGCCTCCGATCCTGACTTATACAAATATACTCATTCTGGATTTGAGAAAGTAGATTCATCACCTGAATTGGGAAGGGCCCTTTTGTAAACTATTCAATCTTTCTGTTTTGATGAAATGGAACTTGTCAATGAATATCTCTAGAGTGCACCATGCATTTCGCTCACATCAAAATTTGTTGTTGTATGGATTGTGAACAACATTTCCTTCTCAGTAAGGTTTGAGAGGGACAACTTAAGACAGTCCAGGTATCGGTTCATCGTCTACAAACAGATGAGAGACGTGAAAGTCTCTGGCGTGATCCGATCCAAGATTCGGTTTACATGCATTGCGTACGGCTTCAAAGATGAGTAGACTTCTTCGAACACGTCGTCTACCTTGACTGACCTTCAATACAGCCCCATCTATGGGGCAATCTCTGAGCAGCTTTCCACTATTGGCCCTTCTTGAGAGGAGCTTTTTGACTACAAGCATTTCTGGTTTCAGCTCCCACTGGGTTATGTCTAGTTACAGTATCAGCTTACAAGTATGAGTCTTGAAAAGAAATGCTGTAGTCATTGATGTGTAATCGGTGGAAAATGCAGTAGTAGGGGCTTACTACTGTGATGTTCTGAGTAGATCTCCCCTCTGAAGCAAGGAACTCACGGTGCTCTAGAAACTTATCTTCGAGTAATGCCTATGTACTGTACATAACGAAATATGAACAGGTTTGCTCCCATATACTGTATATTCATTGCAAATTGCTTGAGATATTCAGTGATAGAACGTTGTAATGGTTACTCACATTTCCCTCATTACTACATCCAGAGTTCTCCTACTCAGCAATTTACCAGTTAAAGCTGTTTTCACCATTTGCTCTTTATTACTTTACTACGTGGACCTCAGCTAGTTGTTGAAAATGAAGCTACAGTTCACAAAGCGTCATTCATGCTCGTGGACGACAACGGAGTCGTCTAACCAGCCAGTGCATGACAAACACTCCGTTTGTACTATCTCCGTTACTTGCCCAATACTCTTTTGTTACTGGTTACCGATGAAGGTTTCATATCGACATGAGAACACAAAATTGCTGTGATGAAGGTATTCCTCTGAGATTCGTCTGTGAATACGTTCTACAGAGTTTTTATTGCATTCTGTAGTTATTCGTTGATTCCCCATTACTGTCATCTCTGCTATAAATGGCAGTGGACTGGTGATGTTCACGTCAATGTTTTTTCCTCCCAGACCGGTACGGTTCTATTCAATCGACCCCTGAGTGGTGGAAAACTTCGTTGTCATGGTTGGATGCGGGGCATATCCCAAAATCGAAAATGAGAGATGGCAATGGTTTCATCCTCTTCCTTATCCTTAGCCCTTGATGTGTTGGTTGTCTGACACCTTGAAGGTGCTCCTTCCCAGTTTCCTGGCCTTTTACAATGGCTTTCGACACTGTAGGTGTCCGTAGTTGATCGGGTAAGTTCAGATGATATGTCTAGCCGAGGTCTAGCTTCTTTCAGGCCGTAATGAACACGTTTAGAGTGAGTTTGCACTGAATGGCGATATCAGATGACAGCGGCAAATTGCGGTCGTCGCCCATTAGAATGCGAGCACATCTTTTCCATTCAGAACAGCATCCCTGAGCGCCCCTCTCTCCCCCAACTCACTCATCGGATCACCTTACAACTCCGTCGTTATGTAACAGAAAACTGGCAAATAGTCACCGAGCCAACAGCGAGCACCACTCAACTAACACAAATCGGCGAACGCATTCTACTGAAGTGAAATTAGTACAAGAAAAAGGGTAGATCGTCTTTCAGGAGGATCTATTCCTCTCAAATTGGTTCCTATCAGACCAGTTGCTTTTTTATCTGATTACATATTAATCATTTGTTAATTGAATTCTTACTTTAAATAAAACAGTAATACAGTGATTTTATGAGAAAAAACAGAAAAAAACCATGAGATTTTAGCAACCAGCTCTAAGTCCTTTGAGGACGGTGCTAGAGCTGTTTGCTACAATCAGAGCGCAAAGCTCACCTTCAAGATGTGGAGGACTCCATAGGGCATTGGTGAAGGAAAGATAAATAGTCAGCGTACGTAATGAAATGGTTCATAGTTAATTCAAAACAGAAAAAATCGTTCCATAAAGTTGAAAAAAAATTGGCAGGTCTTAAAGCCTAAATGACGACGCCTGTCAGCTTTGAAGCTGTTCAGGAAGATTTTGAGCCCTTGTGCGTACTCCTTCAGAAAGAAATCCATTAGTAGCTTGGAAATAGTCAAAGCTTAGAAGATTGATTCCTGACAGGGAAATATGAAATGGTTTTTTCCGATGACCTTTTTCAGCACCAAAACTGACGAATGGCTACTCTTGCCTGCACCCACATCATGCTTGTTAGACTGCGCCCACTCTGAGCGATTTTCCTTTATTTCCAGTTGGCATTTGTTTCTCATGACTGCATCAGATATGGGTGAGGAACCAAAGAAGGGATCAAAAAGTTTAGGACATCTATCAAGTGTCTACTATCCAGGAAAGGGTTCCAACTTCTCATGGAACTGGGAAGGGGAAGTTGAAGTTTTTCCCTGGTGAGTGTTCACACCCATAAGCTCAGCTTGGGACATTCCCTCAAAAACACGGGTGTACGTTATTTTACTGTGTCTGAGATCATGTATCATTCTGATCTCATTTAAGGCTTCTTCAAAGAAATATGGATCACCCTTCCCACCAGCTTATCACCATCACCTGATATCACAGGTTCTTTGTAACGAAGAGGTCTTGTAATTAATTTTGTTGTAACAGGGTTGTTTAACATTTAAAGGTGATAATTTACAGGTCGAAGTTTTCATTTGCTATCGGTAGCTAAATCTACTCTTCTGAGCCATTGTCAACATGACAGTTACTATTATCACCAGTTATTAGTGACAGTTAGAATTACTATTATCCGCGCCTCATTTCGTCTCATTTTCAGTTCCATTCTCATTAATTATATTACAAATTCCCTTTAACTCACTGTGATACCTAGACATATGAAATCTTATTAGCACCTTCAAATCAAATAAATATTTATTGAATAGATCGATTGGTTCATGGCACGTGCCTATCGTAGTCGTCCTTCCTGATCGCCAATATCGCTTAACAGAAGTAGGAATTGTAAGCGTGAGATTCGTGGAACTGCAAGGATCACAGTACAAAAATTCGAAAAAATCCCTTCTGATAAGAGCTGTCATGAATCGATTAGCAAATTCCTGTATGATACGAACAAATTAATGTACTTTACAAGTATTACTGTAAAGAAAAGTTGTAAAAGTGAACATACCACAGGAGGCTCATAATGGTCAAGACCATATGCCGAATAGCCAGCATGCCCGTAGTCGTGTTCTTCATTCCAGTCTGAAATATTGGCTTTTTTTCCAGAAGACTGCAAACAAGGGATGTCGGAAAACTGACTAATTCAGCGTTACTGGTATCACTTCTGAAGAAAAAAGTGACTTCACATAGGTCACTAAAAGTTAGTACAACACAGGAGAGAGTTGGGATTCTCTTTTGAATGGCTTTGTGGAAAAATAACCATTCCGATGAGATCCAGGACAGCGCTGCTCTTGATCAACAGAGACATTTTAGGTCTGAATGAGGTTGTGGCTTACAAGATATGATTACAAACCCATTACTGGGTAGTTATCAGGCGGCTCCCTCAATCAAAAGTAAAAATGGCTTTTTGAATAAGGTTGTCTTGAAGATTCACCCATAGCACCTATCCAAAGCTGCCATGAATCCGGAATGTTGTAGGACCCGTGGCGCATCCCAGAAAAGTTTGATCAAAGTTGAGAATTTCAAGAGCACGGCCAGCGGATAAAACTTCACAACCTATCTTCTCACGACTTCTTTATTGTCGAAACTCGGTGATGGCACTGATGTTTAACTGCAAATTTTCTGCTGATACTGCGATATTTATGTTTGTTTAGAAATTGGCCATTGATTTCTCAGCAATAGCAAACAATTAAGAGATGAGAAGATCAACAAACAGATCATTAAAGAGCACTAGATAGACTAACCGACAGAGAACATGAAGCCTGAAAACTCGACCCTCTTGATGATCACATCGCCTTTTATTCCCACAGCTTGAGCAGCTTTCATTGGGTAACGATGAGGATAGCGACACACTACTTCACCGTTTACTTCAACCTTAATGCAACTAGTTACAATTTGCCATTTCATTGAAAAAATGTCAGAATCCACACATTTTACCCACCGATCCCGTTGAAAGGTAAATGTACTACAGTAAACTTCACTATTGTGTCTTTTGTTAGAGAAACTATTCGTGTTTAGCAACATGGTTCAGCATGGTTTTTACTTGGTGGCCTTCCTTTTGGACTGTGATAACTAGTACTCTCTTCCGGCTACATGAAACATTTGCATGAAGAAGTAACCCGTTTAACTTGTCTACCTTATAGCAATCTGGTCGAACCCGGATGCGAAGATGGAAAGGTTCGTTATGACCAATAGGATTGCATTGCCTGATCTGAAACCGCAACAATCAGATTCCTGACAAAATAGCAAGTAGTCAGAGGAAATCACCTCTTCCCCCCAGCATCCATTGCTATGCGAATTCATGACCACCTCATACTCTTCATGGAAACGGAAGTTGACGTGAAGGATAATGTGAGGTCCAGACAAGAGCTCAACGGCAAAATTTCTAAAGTAGTAATGTACCGATACTAGTGGCTACTCATCATAATTCCAGTGTATATAGACTTACCTGTAATCGCCAGTGTGGACTCTACCATGAATGTCGATTATACAGCCAGGACGAAGAGTTTCGCGGATGGGAATAGCGCAGGGAACCGTCTGAAAACAGGGATTATCGAAATCCCAAAACAAGCAGCGGTAACAAATGTGTCGTAAAAACTTACTGGAGTAAAAACGTTATGCATATTGGCCAGAGCAGATGTTTGAATCCGAATACAAGCAAGAGCTAGAGTGGTCTGATTATATACCCCAAGAATTTCTGAATCATTGGTCGATCGTTATCGGTGACTGTCGAGAAGTTCCACGCTTTCCATGACATGAATAGAGATTGCTCATACATTGCTGTTCAAGATGTGTGTCACATATTTGACCAGCGACATTCGAAACTTCGAGAAAAAGTACTGAAACAAGAAAAAAGAAGAAACACAAACTACACACGAGTCACCATTTCACTGCTACACAGTACAAAACAGACATGAAAATATACAGCAATTGGTGTCCACGGCGTAATTTTTTCTGCCTCCCAGAAGCCGAAGTACCTACGCCAGCCAAAGGGAGACAAGTATCAAATAACGCTTGTTCTGAAGCAGCTTGACGTCCTATGCTGCCTTTCTTCTTCCTCTCCTTAGCGATGACTCCGTTCAGTCACAAATTCTGCTCTTCTTGTTAGCCTTAGCCATATCCTCCTATCTTCTGCAGCTTCCGCTGATTCTCGAGTTTCGGCATGGTTTTCTTAATCACTTCCCTTCACCTTTCCTTGGAGCTCCTTCTGGTCACTCTCCTTGAACTTAGAAGTCCATTGCTACTTTTATCGGGTCCTTGGCAGCACGTACCAATACTATGCAGGCGCTGTGTACTCATCCCCAGCTGAAAGGAGCTGTCTGGATGACCATCAGGGCAACCTCGTCTCCAACCCAATTCAACATTCTATGAACCTTTTCGATTTTCTTGTCAATTTTCTTTTTCCAGTTTTTTTCACATTTAATAAATTATTCGTTTTAAGCGGAGTATTACTAAGAAAAGACAGACTGCTTCGAAGTTAAACCCTGACCAGTCCCTTTCCATGGTCCACTTCTGAGTCTGTTAGCTTAGGAGTGTCATTTGAACGGAGCTTACGTCACGGAAATGGATGTCTCATAGTTTTGCGTAAAACTGCAATGAGGCTTACAAGGTAGTAGACGGGGAAAACGTGATAAATTTGTGCTTCTGTTTTTTGAAGTACTTGCATGATCAGCTTCCTTTGAAAAATCAGTGTGCTCAAGATAAACAGTACAAGAGAAGAGTTCGCTTCTTGATGGACAAAAAAACCTTCTATGAATGTTAGCTGTCATTCGAGTAGCCGCTGTATACATGCCCTTCAAAACTGATGCTGTATAGACTGATCTAGAGATGGCGTTTATGGGCACATCGGTTGGTCTCTGATAAGCCTCGAACTCCTTCCACCATGTTGTTCCTGGGCACAAGTAGTGGTTCGAGTCCCGACTGATACTGAGTGGATCACTCCTATCTCACACAGCTACTGCGGTGAAAAACAGCACTTAATAAATCGAAACAACTTATGTCTTGGCTTTATATTTATTCATAAACATGAGCAAAGTCCCAGCAACCCTACTCTTTAGGTTCAACATTTTCGCTTTACTACCACAGTTCAGAGAAGATTGCGATAGAGTTGGTGGAGAAACATCCCCATATCTTAGCTTGGAAACGATCTCAACAGGGACTTCGAGGGACGTTAGATTTTATCGATACATCCAACCTCTTCTCACCCCCTCAACTCTTGGGCTTTTCTTGGTCTTCACTGATATTCCCATGGTTCTAGACATAGAGCATGTTCGCCTATGGTGGCATAATGGCTACACGGTAAGGAATTTGTAATATCACCGGTAAGTCGTTTTTGTATCATTTTTTATTTATGTTAATCACTTATCTACAATATAATGTAGTCATTTTATTTTCATCACCGGTTTTTTGCTTGTTATGCACTATACTTATTCGACTGGGAACTCACTTAAAAGCACAACCCAAGTCGACGAAAAATGTTCTTCTTTTTTGGTGATACAACATTCCTTTCACTCGACCCCGGTGACAGATACTACAGAGATGCTGGCACAATCCGAATTCTCAAAGATAGCATGCTCAACTTCTAGCCATTACAGGGGATCGAAACTTTGGCGAAGGCTAAGTAAGGTCCCTATCTCAACAAGACTGCTTACTTGGAATCGTACTCGACGGTACATTGGAAACCTACAGTAAGAGAACAGTGTAATTTACATTTCCCGGTCCGCAAAGTTACATTTTACCAAAACCTTACTTAAAAGAACCACAATTTCGCTGAAGGTTGGATTCATGCCACCTTACAAAGTAGTCATAAGTGCTAAGCTATCTATTATTTCACACCTGATCCCTACTGATGATGTCGTCAACATGCTCAGGTTACTGCATCCCAAAGTTAATTTAAACAATTAACTGTTACCTGAGCACTTCCGGAACTGGCAAATGGCCAACCACCTTATCGATAACCCGGAGTAGCTCATAGCAAAATCCGTTCACTACCAAAATTACTCTCAATATTTATCAAGTTGTATATTTTCAAAGGAAATGTGATTACAGTAATTATTATTATAATGGAAATTCCTTATAATAATACTGACAATAAGATCACAGATTCCGAAAGGCCAACGACTTCTTATTGGTATGCATTGTATCCAGGTCTGACCTAAATGTAATGAATCAGTAAAATACTGTGGTATTATAATATCTTGGATTACAGACCATAGCTGGACCAGCATACGACGATGTACCGTATCCAATGAATCCTCCGTGGCCATAGTTCATGGGTTGGTTCCAATCTGTAATTATTTTAGGTACAGGGTTTTGATCACTAAACTGTCCAGCGGCTTTGAAGGTTCTTCCTTGATCTACAACAATTTTAAATATAATAGAATAATGAAGTGGGTCGCCTCTTGTAGTTTTCAAGTACCTCTGTGGAAGTGGAACCCTTCAAAGTTGACTTTCTCAATGTGAACATCTCCCTTCAGACCGAGAGCTTGAACTGAACCAGCTGGGAATCGATGATGGAACGATGCCAAGCGTTCGCCATTGCATTCGATCTGAAGTTGTATTCAGTTATCTAACTTTATAAAGTGTACTTACAACTACATACAGAAGATTCGCCCAGATCTCATCTTCATTCGCGTTCCTTTCTTTCTTTTTTATCTTTCTTGATTTTCTACTTTTGCTCTCTCTCCACTGAATCGCTCTTCCGTCCTTTTCCGATCTCAACGTTATTGTCCCCTGCTGTATACTCCTAGTAGACTCAGAAGGTACTAGTACTACTTACATCATAATGGCCTGGATGAACATGAATGTGGAGGTGGAAGTGTTGATCATGATGAAGTGGATTGTGGTGGCGGACCTGGAAGGAAACGAACACATTGTTTACCGTTTGTAATAAGTAAATATCCAAGTTGTTTAGAGGTGAATGAGTTAGCAAGTCCCTTTGAAAGTCCCCTGAGTTTAAACTGGAATATTTGGCTAAGCGCCAGAATTTGCAACTCAGCAAATATTGGCCGATATGGGCCATTACGCTTAGCAAACACTGGAATACCTCTGATCCCCACGATCCATGACTGTATGAGTTGATCACAACGGTATGTTCATGATGAAAACGGAAGTTCACATGTAGAACGATATGCGGTCCCGACAGCAGTTCTATGGCGAAATTTCTGTAGAACGAATTACACTTTACAAGGTTACCCACATAAGTCAACTTATTGCTGTTATTATTGTTTATCACTTACTTATGATGTCCATGTAGTACTTTACCGTGCACGTCAATCTTACAACCTTCCCTAAGCTCCTCATGAATTGGAATGACACTCGGAACGGGCTAAAACATGTGGTAATGATGTATATTATAGAATAACAAGTGATATAAAGAAAAAGGTGGATGAAAAGGGAAAACGAACTGGATGATGAACGGGATGCATTGCAAACGAGAGCTGGCGACCTGTGGCAACCGTGCTACGGGCGAATCGGGCCGTGTGAAGCTCTTAAATGCTCCAGCTTGGCTGGTATGACTCATGCTTGATAAGGTTGAGACATTTTCACGAGCGAACTTGACGACATGAGCGATTGCATGATCGAATGTGGACGAAAGATCATTGAAGCACAATAGCCGGGGCTTACTCATGATTCTTGTCAGGACCCCTTCTAATCTGAGCTTTCCAATAAGTAAATGTGTAACGACGAAACCTTGACATTCAGGAACTCCCCATAGTCATGTGACTTCCAGTAGATCCTATTCAGGAACTCCTCAAGTTCTCTTCTCTCCTTATTCGTTGGGTATGCTGGTTCCTTGGTCTAGCCCCCTTTTTTTTCTTTTCTTTTCTATTTACTGTCAATAATTGTCTTGAGTTCGCGTACAGATTTAGCCGGCGCGTCTACAGGGACGTACAAATAAATAAATAAATATTGCTATTACGCATATTCTCGAATGTTCGAGAGATGTTCGAGAGCTTTCTACAAAGTAAAAAATCGTATTTCAAATGAAAATTTCGGATGTCTACCTAGTTGGCGTCGAATGACTTTTGGCCATTCGTGATACTTCTATTTGATCGTCAGATAACGGAGTGTTATCGGCTTTGATTACTCTTTCATGGCAACTCGTAATGGCATCTATCGCTCGTAAGGCTCATTGGTAAGCAACTATACTCTTAAAGATGGATTGATGAGATGATAATTGAAATAAAAAAGGTTAAGTACAGGTTCCGAGAGAAATGATGACTCCTCCTCTTATCCCGACAGTAATGTAAGCGAAAATTTAACCTTTACCAGTGAAGGATTTGAAATGAATTCCATCCTATGACTGCCTTTCTTGGGATTCGATTTCAATTAGAAGAACCTATCGACTTGGAGGGGACTCAACTAGTTTTTCTCCTTGAAACTTGAACCCCCTAAGAATTACCTTCACGATTGGAATCAGAGTCGACGTATAGTTTAAAAATATAGGATTTATTTTGGAACTACAAAATTTACTAAGTCCTTGATCTTCACGGCTTCCAATATTCACAAGAGGAGAGACTGCCGTGATGTGAAGCATCAATGACTCGAAAAAATGGAATCGTCTTCAGAAATCGAGGGGCTGGCANAGGTTTACATATGCCTGTAATGAGCTCCGTCGGCTGATCCCCACTGTACAGTACTACCTCGCTGTACTTCACTTTGAATGGAGTTATTTCATTTCTTCCTCAATTTTGACAGTTGAAAAAAATTTTTACGATCAGAATCAGAATCAGAAGCTCTGTATAAATATATAGGATTTGTTAATCAACACCAAAACTTGACAATTTCTTGATCTCCGAAATACTCAATATCCGGAGGCATATAGGCTGCCATGATCTTGAGCATCGATAGCTCGAAAAAAGAATCGCTTCTGGAAATCGAGGGACTGGCAAAAAATTTGGAGGAAAATTTTGTAAAAACTGGATCGGAGGGTTTGTAAATGCCTGTAATGTGCTACTTCGGTTGACTACAAATGTACGGTATTATCTCGACGTACTTCAGTTTAAAGGGTATTATCACATTTTCCCCTCTAAACGCGGCAATTCACAAGACAACCTTCATGATCGGAATCAGAATCAAAAGTACTGTTGAAATATATAGGGCTTACTACTCAACTCATGAATCTACTAAGTCCTTGATCTTCACGTAATCCAATATACGTAAGGGGAAAGGCTGACTTGATCTGAAACATCGATGGCTCGAAAAAAAATCGTTTCTGGAAATCGAGGGACTGGCAAAAAATTTAAAGGAAAAATTCATAATAGGTTAATGCAAGTTTGTGATAGGTTGTTTCGTCTAAGACCCAGTAAAAGTTACTACTTAAGACAAAGTCGGTTTGAAGGGAGTAATTTGATTTCCACCTCAAAATTTGGCCGTTTCAAAATTTACCTCCATAATAACAGAGTCGATAGTACTGCCGAAATACATAAGATTTGTTATTCAACTAATGAATCTAATAAGTTCTTGATCTTCATGTAATTCGTTATTCGAAGGGGGATAGGCTACCATGATCTTGAGCACCGATAGTTAAAAAAAGATCGATTCTCAGAATTTGAGGGACTGGCAAAAAAGTCGGCAAAAATCTTTGTAAAGTGGAAACATGTAACTTGTTAGCTTTTGTTGAAGGATTTTAATGCTGATTACAAGTATGTATACCCATCTCCGCTCTATTTATTTCAAAGGAAGCTCTTTATACCCCTAAAAAGTTGAATGTTCTCAAAATTGTCTCGATCATTAGAATCAGCCTCGAGTGCTCTATTTAGGTATAAGTAATTTGTGGCTGAACTCCGAAGAATATTTCGCCTAGATCCTTCAATATAAGCAAGGGTTAGGCTGCCCTCATCTCGGACATTGATTGCTATACCATCGATCGTCTCTTGTAAATATGAGAGACGAATCAGGATACAGTATTTCTTAAAGGCACTGTTTGCGATAATTCAATGGGCGGGCACGTCAATGACGTGTCCGCCCATTGAATCATCGCGAACAGTGCCTTTAACCCTTTAAAGGGACCGCGACAAATTTTCCAGATTTACATGATTTCCTTGAGAATTTTGTAACAAATTTATTAACAACGCGAGCAAAGTCGTTGATCGCCTCTAATAATCTTTAGCATAGCTGAAGGGTCCGCTTAGGTACTACAATACTTGAACCAAAAAACACTCCAGGGTTCAAAGGATATTTTACTGTGAAGTAAAGGTGTTCTCTCTCCTATCGAGGAAAGGCAATCGGTATGAGTATCCATTAAAACAGAAGATCCTGTCCGCTGCTCGAAGCACTCCGTTCCGTACTGACATCATCTGAAAATACAAATTTTCCATTTAAGTGTACTACTACTATCGGTGGCAACTTGAAAGATCTTTGAAAATTTTAGAAAATGGCTTTACTACTACATTTGTAAGAGTTTATGATGGCGCTCAACATAAATCATAGTATCAGAAGTATCTGCAAATTTAACAACAGTCCAGATTTCTTATGGGGGTTTTTTTTTTGGAGGCTTCCAAAAGGTTTCAATGTAGGGAAACGATGTACCAAGCTTATAAGAGCAACATATCTGGCTACGTCATCCTTTCTTACTTCACTATATGTGGATCAATATCCGTACTTAACACGTACTTCTTCTAAGTTCGAATCCGGCCACTTCGCTGCTGGAATCCACTGAAACTCGGGTGATGTATTCTACCTTGATGGGTCTTCTGAGCGGTTCTAAGCATCCTCAGGTCAGCCCCACTATGAAATCGTGAAATCTTGGCAAACCCTAGGCGAACATTAAGAGAATTCCACATAAACCTGGTTTATTTCGAAATTTTCATTAGATACTTTCCGAATCATCAAAAAATCCATGGCAAGAATACGAAGTGAATCACCTTCAGTGGATTATCAGGTCTGCTAACTAGATGATTCATCCCTGATAAATTACCATATCTATTCATGGAAAGAGCGGTACAGGCAAATATGAGTCACTGAGCATCACATTGATGAAATTGGAAACCGCGGACTCGAAAAGTGTGTCAATACAAAGTTCATGGATCATAGATGAAGGTCAAAGCAGACGGGGTTATCAAGAAAGCAAAAGAAAACAAGTAAAACTGTTGGAATGCCTAGGAGTAAGAGTGTACTACCGATCAGATGAAGCCAAAAAGGAATATCGAGCATTCCAGGGCTCCAGCCGCAGTAAACAGTTGTGCAAAAGTTTCAAGTTAAGGGGGTTTTTCAAGTTAAGGGGGTTCCTTCTGGACAAGCCGCTCTACATAATGCTTCTTCACTGAATGTTCCTCAACCGGAAAAAGCATAGACCCCTTCTATAGCTCTTACAATGAAATTCAAGTGATACCGATTGATTTGGGTGAATTGTAGTTGCATATTAAGAGTGTGCATTGTACAACGTGTTACAAATGCTGGTTGAAATCAGAATATTTCTAAGTTATTTTTTGTAGTAGAGAAGGTCGGGCAGGTTCTTGTTTACAGCATTCTACAACTAGGAATGGCACGAATGTCGTTTTAGTTCAGACGTTCTCAATAATTTTTATATGAAGAAGTTACAGAAGGTTTCCCATTTTATTGAGAAAATACCTATTGAGAAATTTAAATAAAATATTAATAGTAAATAAAATTGAATAAATTGCATAAAATTTGTTGAGAAATAGAAAAATAGAAAGAACGATAAAATATGCCGTGGTACGAAACCAATGCGTAAGAAGGCTTAGATGTGGAGAAGTTTTGATGAGTACACCAGTCAGTCAGAAAACAAGAAGGC